CCGTTGCCCTGTCAATGAAATATGCAACCGCAAATGGATCATGATGCACGGTCAGTTCCGACTCTGAGTCAGCGCAACCTGTGCGATGATCTTGATACCCGCCACGTGTTTGCGTCGCTGGGTGGACGACCCGGATGCGGTCGAGGGGAGGTTGGCAGGATGGAAGGGGTGAGGAGGGAGAGGGAGAGCTTAAGGAGGGCGGGAGGTGCGTTCGTTTCCACCCGCGCCACCAGGATTGAGTGTCTGGGATGTTGCGACTCAGAACGTGGGTGATTGAGTGAAAGGGCAGAGAAACGTCGCCCAAATCAAGCTTTGGTGAGCTTTCTGGAGGAGCTCGGAAGGCGGCGCGTCCCGAAAGGACGAGAACATGTCGTAGGAAATGCAACGGGAGTAAGACATAGCAAATATTTAGGCAACGAGCGTAATCGGAAATACGGTATGAGGTAGTAGGTAGTAACACTGGCAATTAGGAGACACTATTTACTTAAGTACTCAGTGAACACCACTGGCATATTGACGACCAGGTATCTACCGAGAATCCCGGACAGGATATGGCTGTGTGGAGTCTTGCATCGTCGATGACGACTTCGGGCCAAGCACTGCCAGCGGCGCTCGGGCAGGTATGGGTGGGGCTTGGGTGGGGCTTGATATTTTCGACTGGGACTAAATGAGCAGAACTAATGATTCGCCGAAAATCGCTGCAGTATGTGCACTTCCACATTTTCATCCCCAAGTAAACAGTACAGGACGAAGAAATAATGCTGTATCATGCGGATACAAGTCCCGAGTACGCAGAGCGTGAGTTCATTTATACTCACCAAATGGCCGGTATCACAGCTTTCAACGCATTTCAGTGAGCGCACACAAAAAAAAAGGAGTCTCGTTTCATGCATCCATAGCGACATACAAGACGCTCGTCATGACAACTGCAACATACACGAGAGAAAATAAGTCACAGCGCAGGGTCTTCACCGGTTCTGTATTACAAGAAAAGACGCGTGCGTGAGTCATATCGACGGGCACGAGGACAAACACAGAAAGTGTACCTTGACGAACCCGATGGCAGCAGATTTTTCGCGGAAACATTGACGGCAGAGGTCGAGGCCGTATTTACGAATGAGACCTGCTTGGTGCGCGCAGAGGCGGCTGGAGAGGCACGTCGTGGATGGCGGCGCAGCGGCGTTGTGTTCGGACCCGGGCAGGGGTAGGGCAGGGTGAATCACAGGATTAAATGCGTCGATGTGGGAAGAGGGGAAGATACGACGATGCAGATTCACAGTCAGAAAAAAGGATTCGACCGACGGCCAACAGAGTACTCACCACTGACGACTTCCCTTGCCATACTTGCGGGGACGAGAGAACCAAACAGCGTCGTGTGTCATTTTTTAGTATTTCTATGCTTTGCTTCTGGGGACGTCCAATGAATACATCGCGCGGCGCGCGACGATGGGACATACCTTGCAACGTCGAGGGCGGTCGGGGAGGCCTTGTCAACACGTAGCACAGGGTGAGCAGCACAAGCTATGTCCGCATCGGGAAAGAACTGTATAGGTGGCTGAAACAAAGTTTGCTAACCAATCACAAATCACGTGATAGTAACCCCTGACATTTTTCGTACCGAGGTTCTATTGGGGAAGACGTCCAAAGCCATGCATATGTGATCGATAGTACAGGAATAAACACTACATTATCCAAGAAAATACATCAATATCACAATCCAGATCGTCCAACGTCCGCGCGTCGACATAATCAATCACAATAAGGAACAAAAACCAAGAACACGCACACATCACATCAATGTCGTTCCAAATCACTCACATACCTCCCCGCACCATACCCCGCACTAGCATTCTCCCCACCCCCATACGCCCCGACATAATCAAACTCCACCCCGCCCTCGTCTTCATCCGACACCCGCGGATCCGGGTTCACGACCGACAACTTGGCCTTGGGCGCGTCCTTGGGTACAGGTGCAGGCACCGGCGATGCGGATCGAGATCCCGATCCCAATCCCTGCTGCCTCGACGCCGATGCCTCCGCCGACAACGAAGGGGAATGTGACCCAGATGGCTTCCGAAACGTCAACGGACTCGTATCCGCAGGTCCCAGCTCCGTCGCACTCGGAGATCTTGCTTGTTGTCGCCGGAACGCAGCCGCCGAGATCGTGCGTGGCCCGCCTGGACTCGCACCGTTCAACGACGACGTGGAGCTTGCCATGAGCGGCGACGAAAATGGCGGTGTTGGGCGTGGATATTCGGGTGGTGGGGAGCGATACAGGGGGGATATTGGTCTGAGTGCCGTCGGTGAATTCGGACCACCTCCACCCAAGCCAGAGGTAGTGAGCGTAGGCACGGGAGCGGGGAATCGCCCAGAAATACTCTCGCTTGATACATGTCCTGGGTGTCTCTCCTCCATCATCGTCGATGCCCCACTCCTACCTCGGTTGGCAAACGGTGGGTTGGGAGGCAAGATTGGGGATGGGGGCACAGAGCTCTGCGGCGAGGACGACGAACGTGTATACGGCGCAGCACCTTGACTCTGCGACGCTAATCCATAGCCCGGCGGTGGCGCCCTCGGTGTCGCATACCCACTCGCCGTCGACGGGGGTGCAACTGCACTAAACGCCAATGCGTCCATCGCGCGCGAGACTTCCCGTGCCGCAGCTGCATTGCGCGCCCGTTCGTTTGCCGATTCATCGGTCCGTATCTCCTCTTCATCTTCGCGGGCACCCGCCCCGGTACTGTATACACTCTGTCGTTCGTGTGCAGAAGGTTGGTGGATATCGATCGCGTCTGCATCCACAGCCGGCGGTGGAACACGTGGGATTCGCCATTGACTCCCTGCGCGTGACAGAGACGTGGCCCCACCTAAGTTAGACGCCACACCCGTCGACACCGATCTTCGAATAGGCGGCCTGATCACATCGAAACTTTCCTCCCCACCGCTCTCCGACAACGACGAGTCTTCCTCGTGATGCTTACCATGCCCACCAACCCCACATTCCTCTCCCAACGATTGACTGTCACGGTCGTAAGCTAAGCCGTCCTGCTGCTCTTCCCCATCCAGTTCCGAGGAAGAAGTAAGTCGCTGTGAAGGCACACCCGTGCTCGAAGATGCCGGACGATCAGAATGAGCACCATCCTCACCCTGACCCATTCTATCATCCCAAGCCCTAATCGCAGCCGGCGCTGCACCCGGTGGAAGGCATGGCGGTGACGTACTCCGTCGCGTCGTTCTTCTGGTTCTTTCCCTTTCCTCGGTGGGCGAAGGTGAGCCCACGTGTCCGTTTGTCACTGGGCCGTGCGGTTCACTCTGGGCAGACCATCCCAAGTCGCCGGCGAGGGGTTCGTATTTTGGCACGGGTTCGTCGGGGCCGGCGTGGCCGAGTGAGGTGGCTTCCTCGAGGGTGAATCCACGATGGGATTGCGAAAGGGCATCGGCAATGGATGCCATCAGCGATTGGTTCTCCTCGGTTCGTGTCACCCCACTCTCATACGGCGTAGAGAGCGATAGCGGCCGTGCGGGACCCACCGATGATGACGCCGGGGCGGGATCACGCTCCTTGTTGGTGGCAAGGGACGAAAACTGGGGGGCCTGCGCGGATGGCGCATGTACACCAAGCTCGTCGACCGAAGCACGCCTAATCTATATATCATGATATGTCAGCATGCATATTCCACGACGTGTGTTGCATGACGGCAGCATTGAAAGATACCAGCCTCCAGGCAACAGCAAGGCAACATAGACACGAGACATACCGGAGGAGGGCCTGGTGGCGGGTTGTACGTGGCCACACCCAACGTGAGTTCACTACCCAACGAAGGGGTGGGAAGGAAGGGTTCTTGAGTCGGAGCTGGGGGTTGAGAGATGGGTGCGGCAGCGGAGACGTGTCCGGAGGGGTTACCGGAAAAGGTGACCTGCGAGACGGCACGTTGTGCCTCGACAACCAGGTCGCCTACATGACCATGCGCGTTGTAAAACGCGCGGGGAAGGCCAGGTTCCGTGACGTCCTCAGGGATGGACTGTGTGGCAAGACAAAGGGACAACGTCAGAGGAGTGTGTGGGTATACGTAGCGTCCAACTTGCCTGTATGATCTGTCTGCCAATATCACCCACAATCTAAAGATGCCACTGCTCAGGGACAAAGAAAGAGAAGAAAGAGCGATGCACGCACCACCCCCGTTTCGCAACATTCGACGAGACCACCAAACTTGAATCCCATCCAATCCTTTGTACACTTGCGTTTATAATCCCCCAGTTCCGCCTCCTCACGGACGATCTCACCGTCCAGGGCCCGCATCTCTTCGCGGAGCTTGTTGAGGGTATCCGCTTGTACGCTGAGGTTCTTGTGTTCGGGGTTCATCTTGTTGAGCTTCTTCTCGGCGGCCTCAGCGGATGCACCAACACGCCGCCGCCGCCGACGGAGGTCGTCGAGGCCTTCTTCACGGGTTCGCACAGACTTCATGCTGTCCCGAATGGTGTGGTGGAGAGACGAATAAGTCGAGAGGGAAGTCGCAAAGTGCACCAGTATCGTCGACGACGCGGTGAGGATGTCCTGCGAGCGACCGCCATCAGCCGCTTTCCCCTCGAGATTCGAGACGGTGGAACGTACGCCAAGATCGTCACCCTCCCCTTGACCCCAGATCCGAAGCGCATCCCCGGCCTTGGCAAGATCCACTCGGAGCTTCTGCAACCTGGAAACGAAACGTCAACGCGAACGAGTCGGACAAGGAGAACTGCATACGTCGTGAGGACCGTCTTTTCGGCGGTAATGAGGTCTTGAAGGGGCCGAAGGTCGGAATGGCCAGCGAGTGCGGGTATGGTGGTGTTGTGCGCGATCCTGGTCGCGGCAGACTTGAACATGGTGATCGTTCAAAGTCCCTCAGTGTGGTACTGGAGTGGTGGTGGTGGAGTGGGTAGGTGGTGCGCGTGCTGTGCCCGCAATGTGATTGAGATCACTTCCGTGCATAGCCGCGTGTGCTGCGGACAAAAAAAGAATTGGCCCACCGCGAGATTCGAACTCGCAGCCAAAGTTCGAACATCAAACTAGGTTGCTCTATCCAATTGAACTAGGCGGGCGCTAAACTTTGCTCAATCGCAGCTCTTCATTCGCGTCGGTGTCCACTCGTCGCGCCAAGATGTTCAACATCGACAAAGTCATGCGTGACGTCCCACGTACGTCTCCCTTTCACTCGCCCATCCTCACCAACTTGGCCAGAGCGGTATACTAATATCATTCACATCATGGCAGACGACGCACCGACGAGTCGGAGCTGGAATTGACCGCGCACACGTTGATCCATGCGGGATTGGCATTGAAACTACTCATTGAATGCCAACCCGGTGCTGCACGCCGCACATCATGCATTATGGATGCTTTCAGCTTGCAGAGGCACATTGATGGCAGTTCCATGTGCTTGGATTCCGACACGTGGACAAGGTGCGATTTGCTGTGGTAGCGAGCAATGTGCATGGTCTTAAAAGCACAACAGGTAATATGTCCCTCGCCACATACTTTAACACCCCAGTCTACCACTCTCACCACTAACAATGGGCTCCCGGTTAAGCAAACTGAAGAAACGACTACAATTGAAATTCCAGGGACCTGGTGCTCTGGCTGTGGGTTTCGATTCCTTGCTTCTAGTTGATCAACCGACACACCCTGCAGAACAGCACACAAACGCCCTGCATTACTGTCCCTTCCCCCGAATCTGCGGTGCAGGAGCAAGGAAAGGAAGAAACCACTGGACCCGGGGACTGCCATGTGCCCTCTTCCTCCGGCTCTCCAACGCCCACGGACGAGAACGAAGAAAAGGTTATCACAGGTGTGGCGCCGGTGCAGGAGGAAGGGAAGAAAGAAAGCCCTGGACCCGGGGACTGCCATGTTCCCTCTTCGTCCGCTTCTGCAACGCCCACGGACGAGAACGAAGAAAAGGTTATTACGGGTGCGGCGCTCATTTCTCTACACACTTTGCAAAGATACTAACGACAAAGTAGGTATCCGAGCGGCGGATGTCGCTCTTGGCCTTAGACGTGTCCCTGCCGGCTTTTACACCGTGGTGCATCACAGTGGCCTTGAATGGAGAACCGAAAATAAACGTTCGTCAGTCGATGAGGATATCGTGGAGTGGAGTGGGCCGATTCCAATGTGAGACCCCCTTCCCTAACTGGGGTTAGTCCTGACAGAGTTCGCAGACCGTCAGATCCGTCCTCCACGGTTTGTATTAAAGTCTACGCATCCTTTGAATTCCACCCCACGCTAGGTGCTGGGGAGCAGCTGCGAGAGTTACCAACCACAGTCAAAGAACTATTCGACCGCAGTGGAGAAGCCGTTCGTGAGTGGGACTTTTTTTTTGCCGAAGAGTGTGGCTCACACTATGGCAGCGTTTATCCCAGAGGATGGGGACGTTGTATCCCCATGTTCATCCATGTTGATCACTGTCGAACGGCGCAAGCGCGAGAACAATCATTCGTCAGCGTCGAGGGTTCTTTGCGTAAGCAGGCGACTACTGCCAACTCGATCGTCGTTCATCAATGTGTGTCATAGTCTACCACAGAATCGCGAGGCGAGCTGGAAGACGCAACAAACCAAGGTCACAGCGCTCTCTCGCGCTACCGAAAGCACGGGGAGAAACGGGATCTGGAGTGTTCTATCGAAGAGTTTGAGCGGGCGCTTAGTGTTTGTCCTGAGGACCATCCTTGCCGTGCGGCTGCGCAGTCAAACCTGGCGATGGCGATATTCATCCTCTCTCGGGTCGAGGATACGGATGCTTCCCTCGAGGTCCCTCTTAGCTTGTATCGCAATGCACTTGTTGCCCGTCCTGCTGGCCACGTTGACCGGCCTTCCACGCTGATTCAGCTCGCCGCGGTCCATTTCGTGCGATCGCAGAAGCAGAGGAATGAAGACGAGGGAGTGCAGGCTGAGGCATTGCTATATGAGGTGATGGAGCTCAGCTCTGCAGACAGTCACGAAATGCGAGCTGCGACTTTCATACTCCAAATGCATGCTGGACGTAGAGTGGACCCTGTTCATGTGGATGGCGAATCATCGGAGGAGGATCCGGCTCCAAGCATATCGGACGAAGGCCCATTGACCTTAAGTGGCCAGTTGGTGCTCTGCTATGAACGATTTGGTGATCTAGCTCACTTGCAAGAGGCGATCACACTCTTGGAGAACTGGCTCAGGTCTACTTCGGTTTTGGATGACCGGCGCGGTGCAGCACTAGCGGCACTCGGCCTTGCGTTAGCGCAGCGATTCGATTGTGTCGGAGAGCTGAGCGACCTCGAGGACGCAATTTCTATGCACAGGGATGCTCTTGACCTCACTCCACACGGTCGACCTGAGAGGCTGGATATTCTTAGCAACCTCGGCACTTCCTTCTTGTTTCGTTTCCAGCGCCTCGGGCAACTAAGTGACCTCGGGAATGCAATTTCGAGGTACAGGGAAGCTGTTGACCTCACCCCTCATGGTCACCCTCAAAAGCCCGACTGTCTTAGCAACCTCGGCCACTCCTTATCCATTCGTTTCCAGCGCCTCGGGGAGCTGAGTGACCTGGATGATGCGATTTCGATGCTCAGGGATGCTGTTGACTTGACTCCTGATGGCCACCCTGGGAAGTCCGCCTATCTTAACAACCTCGGCAACTCCATCTTGGCTCGTTTCCAGCGCTTCGGGGAGCTGAGTGATCTCGAGGACGCAATTTCGATGCTCAAGGAAGGTGTTGACCTCATTCCTGATGGTCACCCCGACAAGTCCAAGCTTCTTAGCAACCTCGGCGGCTCCTTCATCAGTCGTTTCCAGCGCCTCGGGCAGCCGTGTGACCTGGAGGATGCAATTTCGACGCTCAGGGATGCTGTTGACCTTTCTCCTAATGGTCACCCTGACAAGCCCGAGCTTCTTAGCAACCTCGGTGGCTGCTTCTTCACTCGGTTCCAGCACCTCGGGCAACTGAATGACCTGGAGGACGCAATTTCAAGGCACAAAGATGCTGTTGAACTTACCCCTCATGCTCACCCTGTCAAGCCCAACCTTCTGAACAGCCTCGGCATCTCCTTCTGGGCTCGTTTCGAGCGCCTCGGGGAGCTGAGTGATCTGGACGGCGCAATTTCGACGTTCAGGGATGTTGTTGACCTCACCCAGTATGGTCACCCTCAGAAGCGAGGCTATCTTATCAACCTCGGGAGCGCTTTCGCCACTCGTTTCGATCGTCTCGGGGAGTTGAGTGACTTGGAGGACGCAATTTCAAGGCTCGTAGATGCTATAGACCTCACCCCTCATGATCACCCCGAAAAGCCCACTTTTCTTAACAACCTCGCCAACTCCTTGACCACTCGTTTCCGGCGCCTCGGGGAGTCAAGTGACCTGGCGAACGGAATTTCGAGACACAGGGATGCTGTTGACCTTACTCCTCATGATCACCCCGACAAGCCGCATCGTCTTCACAACCTCGCTAACTCCTTGATCATTCGTTTCGGACACTTCGGGGAGCTGAGCGACCTCCAGGACGCAATTTCGAGGTACAGGGATGCTGTTGACCTCACTCCCCATGGTCACCCTCAGCGGCCCGCCTTTCTCAGCAGCCTCGGCAACTCCCTCGCCACTCGTTTTGAGCGCCTCGAAGATTCGAGAGACCTGGACGACGCAATTTCGAAACACAAGGATGCTGTTGACCTCACCCCGCATGGCCACCCTGACAAGCCTGCCCATCTTATTGGCCTCGGAAACTCCCTCTCCACACAGTTCCATCACTTCAGGGAGCTGCGTAATCTCGAGGAAGCAATTTCCTTGTATTTGCATGCTGCTTCCACCACCATTGCTCCTATCAGTGTTCGATTTCTTGCATCAACACAATGGATATTATGTGCTCGGCCTATACGCCACCACACTCTCCTCCATGCATATTCTATTGCCATTACCCTCCTTCCTCAACTTGCATGGATCGGTCTCTCTCTTTCAGACCGTTACACTCAACTTACGCAAGGTGCCGATCTGGTGCGGGAGGCAGCAGCAGCAGCTTTGGACTTGGGATTCCCGGAAACTGCTGTGGAGTGGCTCGAGCAAGGACGCTCGATCGTCTGGGGAGAGTTATTTCAGCTTCGCAGCTCGTACGAAGAGTTGTCGTCGGCACATCCAGATCATGCCCGTAGACTTCGGGAACTGTCTGCTGCATTGGAGCATGCAAGTTCCACTCGTGAAAGATCCCTGTCCCTATTCTTGGAACAGACCCAAAGTGCGGCGCATCGTGTGACAGAGTCCTTGCAGCAAGAGGCTGACAGACATCGTACCCTCGCGATTGAGCGAGATAAACTGCTTCAGGAAATCCGAGGCTTTCCTGGTTTCGAACAATTCCTCCTCCGCAAAGAGTTCTCTCAGCTCCGAGCTTCAGCACACTCTGGACCAGTGGTCATGCTGAACGCTGCAGAAACCCGCTGCGATGCACTAATTGTTCTTGCTGACATCGATCATGTAATTCATGTCCCGCTTCCAAATTTTACTTGCCAGCGATCCGCAGGTCTTCGGAAGATGCTGGTGAAATTACTTGGTCGTGTCGATGAAAGGATGGGGACAAGTTCGACACAGCGCGGCGTCAACTGGGAGCCCTTCTTATCGACCTTGTGGAACGGCGTCGTCAAGCCAGTCTTGGATGCCTTGTCTTTCTCAGTACGTCATGTATGTTACCTGGATTCATACCTGATTTGTTCATCTGTCTCTGAACAGACTCCTGGGGACTTATCACGTATTTTTTGGTGCCCGACTGGCCATTTCGTGTTTCTCCCTATTCATGGAGCTGGTTTCTATAATACTCAGCATTCACGACCTGGGCACAAAGTATCCGACTTCGTCGTGTCGTCATACGTCCCTTCTCTCAGCATTCTGTCGCTGTCACACAATCCCGATGCGGTACCTAGCGGCGATCTCCGCCTTCTTGCTGTCCGTCAGCCATCCTCAGATGGTCTACCCCACCTTTCAGGTGTGGGCACTGAGTTGGAACATATCAGGGCAGCAATCAGGAATTCCTCTTCGGCACAAACCGTCCTCCTGGAGTCCGAGGAAGGAACGGTCGAGGAAGTACTTTCCC